ACCCAAAGGGGGCGGCAGCGGATGGAGCAATAACGGTACATATCATATAATCTGAATCTGCAGCTGAAACTGAAACTAAAACTAGAATGTTAGATGAAGCTGCATCCGAAATCGCAACCGAATCTTAAATCTAAAAATAGAATCTGAGTTACCTCCTCGGGCGCCCCGCCCCCCGCCTCCGCCCCCCACACACACACCATACAATAAAAATGTAACATTTTTTTTGCTAGTTTTTACCCCATAAAGTTTGTAAACCCCTTATTTTATTTGCCAACTGCTGCGTTCTCTAAAGATTCGGTTTCCAGTGAGAAAATATCAAGATCAAGATTAAGATCCTACGGCAAAATAGATGTAATATTAAGATGAGTGTATGTTTTTTTTTTCGAAGGAACCTTACTGTAAATGTAGCACTTATGTAAGAACTAGAGTAAGAGATTAACGCAAATCTAATGTTAAACATAAAGTCGGTAGAGAGCACAAAGAAGTTTACCACATGCAACAAGCAAGCAAACAAACAAACAAACAAACAAAACCAACCAACAAACAAAAGAAAAACGTTATCAGGGATAAAATATCAAGTATGTAGTAGAAAAGTCACTTTTTTTCTACTTATTCACATGTACGACGAATAAAGTAACAGAAATTCAAATCATTTTTTTTATATATACATATATACACATGCGTATAAATGATAAATGTGCATATGTGCGACGAGAGAAACCAGAAAAAATATACTAAAGTCTATGTATACATATGTATATACTTTACTTTATACACCATTTACCATTTACCATACATATATACAATATATATACCGATGATAGATGATGTACCGTCTACTAGTACGTGTGGTGTACAGAAGAAGAAGAGCTGTAAACATTTTTGCAAATCGAGGATTAACGTATTAAAAACAAAACCGCAAAGTAACTCAGTGATTTTTCACCAGCGAAGTACAAATGTTCTGAAATTAAATTTAATAACAAGAGTCGCAAGGAGCAGAAAAAGAAAAGTATGTGGAATTTCGAATATTCAGCAGATCAGAATCAGAAATAGCAACAGTTTGCACTGCCGAACATTGTCGAGCTACCAAGCAATATCTATTCAAGGTCCACCAGACTATCGGGAATACAGATATAACTAGAGGAAACATTAAACTGCCCAAGAAACCAAGAAACACACCCACGAACATCTGTGTTAGAAAAGATTTCAAATACGAAAGCGAAAAAGTGAAAAAGAATAAGGAAAAGTACGAAGAATGTGTATCAATTCAATGTCTCAGGAATTTCTTAAACTTAACCAATTTACACCCTATATATTATGATAACACACTGCAGGAAAGTCTACAGAATCTTCCAATCAACACACCTCTAAGGGGGCATATCATCATCTAACTTCATCATCAAGTGCGAGTTTTCCTTTCCGATTTCTTGTCAACAAAGCATAGATATAGGGCAGTAGTAGGAATAGGAATTAGTATTCTTTGTGCCATGCTACCCAGACGAAACATAAACAGAAACAGAAACTGAAACCCTAGGAATAGGAATACTAGGAACCAGATAGGATAGAGTGTAATGGGGATTGGTTGAGGTATCGGTTTCTCGAGGTCCCTCTCCTTATCAGCGTTCAAGCGAAGATCCATCCAGGTTAAACTAACTACTCAGGCACTTTCTCAGTAATATCGGACAGTAATATCATGGGCAGTCTCGGCTCTGTAGATCTGACATAGTCTTAATTAATTTATTCAACTCAACCCTACAGATACAGTTACTTGTGAGCGGTCAAAGGTCAGGAGAGATTGGGATAGGTTGGGATAGGTGGAATCGAAATCGAAATGGAATGAAATAGGAGCGTTGGAGGGTCCCAAGATTCTCCCTTTCATCATAGCGTAGTTGTAATTCTTCCACGTACATTTACTTTTTACACCTATTTATGATATCTTTTTTTTTCTTAATTTTAGTGTTTAATTTTAAATGTGTTTTATACTTTATTATTCTCTGATAGTTGGACGAAATTTACAGTTTATTGTAGTATTTAATTTCCTAAAATTTGTAAGACATTTATAACTCTTTTTTTTAATATTACGAATACGAAAAGAAAACGCAGAGACAAGAAACGAAAAATAATGCAAATGCAAAACAAACTGTGATCTTACAAAATCTTTGAAAAGTGAAAATTTTTGTATTTTCCTTTGACGAAATTCCATTTTGGCTGTTTATACTTTTTAATTATGTTACCACTCAAACAAAATTTATGTTTAGAAACTCAACGAAACTGTGAATGCGAATTTTTGTATTATTTTTTGTGCACCTTCTTTATACACTTATTGTTTATGTATCCAATTAAACTATTAAACCTATTCAAAATTATACTTTTTGGCAAATGTAACACAATAAAACCAATCATTTTAAGCAAAACAAACCGCAAACCATATTTTCCTCTTTTAGATACATACACTCTATTTGTTGTTATATTTTTTAAAGCCCTTCGTTTGACCTCGAAAACTCAGGGAAGCTAACCAATGCTCAGGAAACCACCGAACTTGTACGACCCTTCGAAACCCCTCATCATAGATCGTACATCCCTACTATACAGACAGAATCCCAGCCAGAAACGAAAAAGAAATGAAAAGATTCGGAGAACAAAAGGACCTAGATCTAGCATGGCCAAAATAAACTGATTAAAAGACGCATATATTCGTACCATTAATAAGAAGATTTTGAATCATATTAATGTAGTTTATAGCTCTAAAGTTCGTATAAAGATATTCTTAGAAATAGAATCGTATATGTATACCCCATATTTGACGCACTCTCCCCTTGCCCCACCCAAAAAAGGGTTAGGACACCAGAACTTCTATCTAAATATCTATTTATCTGTTGTTATCTGTCACTCTCCCATGCGCAAGTACCTTGTACATGTATGTGTGAGCCAAAATTTGAATTTGAATTTAAAAATTGAAAAATTGAAATTGAATAATCGAAGAAAAGGGCTAAAATTACTACAATGATGAACAAAATGCAACGCATATCACAAAACATTCAGTACGATAAGAAAAGGGAAAATTATTACAAATTACAAATTAGAAGACAAAACTTAAATCGGAAAAACAATTAGATAATTGAAAATTATTAGTCAAAATTATTTATTATATTATATACAATACATGTGCATGTATATATCAATCTATATGTGTACAGGCATACATATATGCATATGTTAATATGCCCAAAAGCCAAATACATTTCGGAACTACGCTGTTTATTAATTTAACTTTTCGGTATTTAAAACAAAAATCTGTGATTAACTACAAAATTTAAATTTTAAAAATTAATTGTATAGCGCCAAATAAGCGATAACGATGTTTAAACAAGAAACCAAATCGAAAACAAGAAGAGAAAGAGAAAATTGTGAATCAGACTCGGAACACGAACTTTTTGGATTTTATCTAATAGTCAAATACGATGTATATGCGATTGCATTTTTCCACACTTTCGGCTATACATACTCACATGCATATTTCCCTGAGAATCGGCGCAAACTCTCGGATGCCAAGGTGATTCTGATGCGGATTCAGATTCAGATGCAGATATAGATACACTTACACGTCCTTCAACCGATACAAATCAAGGCACAATATATGCGGATTAGTTGTACTTGAAGGAAACCTGAAAGAACATTTAAAATAATAATATTATTACTATTTTTTTTTTGTAGGATTTACTAGAAATAATATATATGTAATTTCGAACACTTTTAAAGTCCGAATTTATTAACAAAACAAAAGAAAAGGAAAGGAGAAAACAGAAAGCAGAATAATTATCATAAAGTCAAGCAAAGAATTACACGTTAGTAAATAAATGGCACAAATAACAAGAAACTCATTTCATGCATACAAACATACATGTATACAAACTAATTGTACATTTTTTATTACTAACCCTATTAAAAAAATCAAACAAAGTCCCCTGACAGCATAATTAACGCAACGCAGGAGGGGGAAAGCAGTTAAGATCGAAAAATACAAAGATATATAGATCGAGATCGAGAGTCAGGAGAAGTGTAAGAGATGTTTATCATGACGGATGGCATTTTGCTTGCTCAAGTGTACTGAGACACACATGATTAACGACGGCAGGAAAGCACGCATCCAACATAAATATATATAAATAATATAATTACATGTATACAAAGAAAACACTAATTATTAATAAAAAAAAAAAACAAAAAATAAGTATTTCATTGCTTTTTGGGGTTGGATATTTGGGAATTTAGGTATTTTCCTGAGGCATGCAAAAAAGTAACGCGCTTACATTCAAAAATTGATAACGAAACGATGCCGATTCTTTCGATACCACTGCCATTCGATAGTTTTGCCCTCGATTGGTCACTGACAGGGTTGGAAAAGTTCCGCCTATCTAGGTACAAGGAAGTAGTATTGTTCTACCTAGGGTACAACATTTTTGAAATAAAAACATTTCTAGGTACACCATCAATTACCTAGGCAAAAGTTAAAATGTACAATTGCAAAATGTTTTTTTTTAAATGTAAGGAAATTAACTTACGGATGTATTAATTATTGTATCACGAAGGGACTTTAGCTTCTGGCTAAATAAACCGTATAATTGATATTTACATTATAAAATATATAAATTATAATTTAAAAACAAAAGAAAGGACATAAGAATATTTAAAACATAAAATTGATTAATTTTTGAGCATATTAGTTTCACATATTGTAAAATAATCAAAACACAAATAAATGGACATTTGAATACTTAAAACATAAAATTGATTAATTTTTGATCATGTTAGTTTTACATTTTGTAATAAAATATGAATTAAAGATCATGAATTAATATTTAAAACATTAAATTGACTACTTTTTACAGTTTGTAATAAAATAATAAATGTACCTAGTATTGTAGTATTATTGTACCTAGGAATTTATTCAGGTACTCCCCAACCCTGGACTATCGATAGGAACAGTGCCATCACTTTTGCATTGGGGCGTATTTGGATCGGGGGACAATAAACATTGAAGTCCAGCTGCAAAATGGACCAGGCAATGCCCAACCAGCCCAAGTTCCTGCCCCGCGTCGAGGGCAACTCGTACGTGGCCACCGCCTCGGGCAATCCCTTCGAGACAGACGAGGAGGAGGAGATCTTCAGCAGGCACAAGATGGTGCTCCGGGTGCCCAGCCACTGCACCGGCGACCTGATGCACCTGGCCGTCTCGCGCAACTGGCTGCTCTGTCTGATGGGCACCGCGGATCGCACCACCCTGCTCCGCTTCTTCCTGCCCCGCGCGATTCCTCCGGGTGGTAAGTGAACCAGGTCCTCCTCCGCCAGCTGCTCCCTTAACCGCTCTTCTTACTCCCCGCAGAGGCTGCCCTGGAGAAGTACCTCTCGGGCTCCGGCTACAAGATAACGCGCCTGTTCCTGGACCCCACTGGCCACCACCTCATCATCGCGCTGGTGCCCAAGTCGGCCTCCGCGGGCGTCTCGCCCGACTTCCTGTACATCCACTGCCTCGAGTCGCCGCAGGCGCAGCAGCTCAAGGTGCGCCGCATCGAGAAGTTCAAGGACCACGAGATCACGGCCGTCGCCTTCAATCCGTACCACGGCAGCGACTCCTCGACGGGCCCCATCCTCCTGGGCACGAGTCGCGGCCTCATCTTCGAAACGGAGCTGAATCCCGCCGCCGATGGCCACGTGCAGCGCAAGCAGCTGTACGATCTGGGCCTGGGTCGTCCCAAGTATCCCATCACGGGCCTCAGACTGCTGCGGGTGCCCAATAGCAGCCGGTACATAGTGGTGGTCACCAGTCCCGAGTGCATCTACACATTCCAGGAGACGCTGAAGCCCGAGGAGCGCTCGCTGCAGTCCATCTTCGCCGGCTATGTGAGCGGCGTGCAGGAGCCGCACTGCGAGGAGCGCAAGACCGACCTGACCTACTCGCAGCTGCGCTTCTTCGCCCCTCCGAACAGCAAGTACCCGAAGCAGTGGGCCTGGCTGTGCGGCGAGGGCATCCGCGTGGGCGAGGTGGGTATAGTATGGTGAAGACCAGGGTTCGGAAATTGACACGCATGTGAAAAATAATTGTTAACACACATAGCTCACTTGTGTTTTTTACACTGTGTTTTTAACACGACGTGTTTTTTACACACTGTGATTTTAACACAAATGAAAATTACTTTTTACTGACATTACGAGTAGAAAAATGTCAAAAACTCATTGTGTTAAAAGCACGTCGTGTTAATAACATGTCGTGTAAATAACATATGTATAATACAATTTTTTCCACACAAGTCAAGAACACTTTGACATTTAACATGTGAATAACAAAAGTTTTTTACAGCTAAAAGCTTTTTTCCGAACCCTGGTAAAGACATCCTTCTCACTCAAAGAAATCTCTGTTTTTTAGCTCTCCATTGAGGCCAACAGCGCCACCACGCTGATAGGCAGCACACTGATCAACCTGGACTTTGAGAAGGCCATGCATCTGTCGTACGAGGAGCGGCGCCTGAACATCCCCAAGTCCTTCGTGCTGACCGAGTACCATGCCGTGCTCCTCTACGCCGATCACATACGGGCCATCTGCCTGCTCAACCAGGAGCAGGTCTACCAGGAGACCTTCGACGAGTCGCGGCTGGGCAGGCTGCTGAACATTGAGCGCGACGAGATGACCGGCTCCATCTACGTGTACACCACGCGGACCGTCTTCAATCTGCGGGTGACGCGCGAGGAGCGCAACGTGTGGCGCATCTACCTGGACAGGGGCCAGTACGAGCTGGCCACCGCCCACGCGGCCGAGGATCCCGAGCACCTGCAGCTCGTCCTGGGTCAGCGGGCGGACGCGGCCTTCGCGGAAGGGTCCTACCAGGTGGCGGCCGACTACTACGCCGAGACGGACAGGTCCTTCGAGGAGGTGTGCCTCAAGTTCATGGTCCTGCCGGACAAGCGGCCCATCATCGACTACGTGAAGAAGCGCCTCGGCCGACTGACCACCAGGAAGCAGATGGAAGAGGAGGACGTCGAGGACTCGGACGAGGCGAACAGCATCAAGGCTCTGGTCATCTGGCTGATCGACCTCTACCTCATCCAGATCAACATGCCCGACCAGGACGACGAGGGGCGGCGGGCGTGGCAGGCGGAGTACGACGAGTTCATGCTGGAGGCCCCGGTGCTCGCCTGCATGCGCCAGAATCGCGAGGCCGTCCAGCAGCTGATCGCCGAGCACGCGGATCCGCACAACATGGCCCGGTTCGCCATCGCCATCGGCGACTACGACGAGGTGGTGGCGCAGCAGCTGAAGGCCGAGTGCTACGCGGAGGCCCTGCAAACGCTGAGCACGCAGCGCAACCCGGAGCTCTTCTACAAGTACGCTCCGCAGCTGATGGTCAAGCTGCCGAAGCCCACCGTGGACGCTTTGATGGCCCAGAGCTCCCGGCTGGAGGTGGAGAAGCTGGTGCCCACGCTTATTGCCATGGAGAACCGCGAGCAGCGGGAGCAGACGCAGCGCTACCTCGAGTTCGCCGTCTACAAGCTGAACACCACGAACGACGCCATCCACAACTTCCTGCTGCACCTGTACGCCGAGCACGAGCCGAAGCTGCTGATGAAGTACCTCGAGATCCAGGGGCGCGACGAGAGCCTCGTGCACTACGACATCCACTACGCGCTGAAGGTGTGCAGCGATCTGCAGGTGAAGGAGGCCTGCGTCTTCCTCGAGTGCCTGCTGCGCAAGTGGATCGCCGCCGTGGAGCTGGCCCTCACGTTCGACATGAAGCTGGCGAAGGAGACGGCCTCGCGGCCCTCGGACAGCAAGCTGCGCCGCAAGCTGTGGCTTCGAATAGGTACATCTTTATTCCCAGCATCAGTTCATATCCATTTAATGCTCTTCCTTCAGCCTATCACGACATCAAGGGCACCAACGACGTGAAGAGGGCGCTCAATCTGCTCAAGGAGTGCGATCTGCTGCGCATCGAGGACCTGCTGCCCTTCTTCTCCGACTTCGAGAAGATCGACAACTTCAAGGAGGCCATCTGCGATGCCCTGAGTGTAAGTAGAGAGGGCTCTATGCTCTATATATTTTCCAGTACCAATCAGTTTCTCTGCTCGACAGGACTACAATCAGCGCATCCAGGAGCTGCAGCGCGAGATGGCCGAGACCCAGGAACAATCCGATCGCGTGGTCGCCGAGCTGCAGCAGGTGCGTGAGCGCAGCATCACCATGAATGCCCAGGACACGTGCGGCGTCTGCGAGATGATGCTGCTCGTCAAGCCCTTCTTCGCCTTCATCTGCGGCCACAAGTTCCACAGCGACTGCCTGGAGAAGCAGGTGCTGCCCATGCTCACCAAGGAGCAGACGCGTCGCTTGGCCGCTCTGCGTCAGCAGCTGGAGGCGGAGGTTCAGCCGCAGGCGCAGGCCCAGTCGATGGCCCTCAGCAGGCAGCAGGCCAAGGAGCTGCAGCACAAGCGGGCGTCTCTAAAGACCCAGATCGAGGACATCCTGGCTGCGGACTGCCTGTTCTGCGGCCTGCTCATCAACACCATCGACCAGCCGTTCGTCGACGACTGGGAGCAGGTGAATGTCGAGTGGGAGTAGCTTCGTTCGGATCCACACACATTATATATATATTTATGTACATATAGAGTATTTATTAATAAACCTACACAGATCACAAGAGCAGCTCTAGAGTCCCAATTACCCGGTCAGTCGACAATCTGCATGCGCAGCTCGTTGGTCACGAAGGACATGACCGTATTGAGCACCGCCTGCTGGATGGAGGCGTTCTGGACGATGAGGGGCAGCAGCATCACCACATCGCTGGGATGGATCTCGGCCACCGCCTTGGAGACGTGCTGAACCAGCTGCTCGCGCTGCCCGTCGGTCAGGTCGTTCAGGATGACCTCGCCCAGTGGGCGGAATGTGCCTGTTGTGGGTAAAAGGAAGAGTATCCGGTTAGAAGGACCTTCTAATTGGATTGAAACTATACCTACCGCTGGTCATCTTGTAGGCGGCAATACCGCCCGCTGCCCCGCCCACCGCCAGGCCCACGGGACCCAGGAGCATGCCGCCCGCAAAGGAGCAGGCGGCGCAGATGGCGGCCCCCTTCCCCGACTGCTTCACGGCGACGCGCACCTGGCGCTCGTCCGCCACAATGGCTATCGCCTCCATCAGCTCGCGCGTATCTATGGGCATCTTGGGGCTACGTGGTGCTCCCGTAATTTCGTAATTCGCTTTTAGACTTTGTATCTTTGCCCCGATGGATGTGTCATCGATCCTCCGCCGATCCGAGTCGATTTCTTCCGATCCTGGCTTGCCTCTGGGTTTCCCGTATTCGTTAACTTGACAATTTAAAACTTTACAACATAAACAACGATCGCTTTGGCGAAATAGAGCTAAAAATACACGACTAGACTTGATCCCAGATTGGAGCATTAAAACAATCGATTGTAAATGAGCCTTTTCACTGGCGAGTTATCGATACACTGGGTTAACCCTTGTGTCAAAGCTTTATTTCAGTGAAAACAGCAGCAATAATAAAAACTATTTGCAAATCGCCTGTTAATTTGCTAAATAGTATAGCAAATATGAATTTTAGCTTTGATATTACTGTTTTTAGACAGAAAAACAGAAAAATTAAAGTTGTATTTGACATGCTTTGTATTTCTTTAATAATTTAACTGAAAAATCATAAATGTTATATATTTATATAACGTTAATGTTTCAGAGCTAATATATTAAAGAAATAAAAACGTTTGTTGTACATAAAATACAAATTAAGAAATTACCAGCAATTTAAAAGTTCGGGAAACTTAAATAATGTTACTTGTTGGTAAATTTGACAACTTACTGTTGGAGTTAAAACAAAATAATTTAGCTCATGGGCAATATAATAATATTATTAAAAATAAATACAAAAGTAAAGCAATTTAATCCCAGCGCAGGAAAAACCGTGCGAGCCATAAGGGTTAAATTGGACAACCAATGGTTGGCAACAATCGCTTGCTATCGCCAAGCACTGTGCGATCTATCGATGAATCGATAGCCCGCCGCGAACAGAGCCGTTAACAGTAACAGTGGGTGCTCTGCTAAGCGCGCATAACAGTTGTCTTTGCTTTTGTTTTGTTCGCACTCGAGCGAATTGAATATTGAATTGAGATAAGATATTTTCGTATTTGGCCCACTAAACACGTCGGAGTGAATATTTTCATGTGCGATTGGGCGGCAGATCACTTGGCAGAGCTACCAGGATCGTGAGAAGCGCCGGAAAAGAGCTCCTTTGCGCCGGGACTGGGATGTGCGCAAATCATTTAAACTGCGATCCTCGGATGTCGACGTCCATTTGGTGCAGGATCCCACGTCGCCCCGTCCAGGAGTAACTGCCTCCAGACTCAGCTGGCTGGAAACCCGAGGGAATTCGACTTTAGAGCCGATATGTTGGCCTACTCCCACGTAAGTCCAATGCGCATCCAGTTCCACGCGAGTGTGTGGGTGTGGGTATGGGGTATACATGGGTTATATAGGGGCTATATGGTCTATGGGGTGCTATGTGCTGATATTGTATCTCAGAAACACTGTAAATTACTGATTTCTCGATTCTGTGGGTGGAGTTTTTTTTACCCTTGGAACGAAACTTATTTAACAGGTACGATTTATAGTAGATATAATCTCGTATAGCCTAATCGCATACCTACACAGAGGAAAAAATACGAAAAATATTCATCAATCGGGTATTCCGTTCTATGTTCATATCAAAATGATATTTCCGAACATATGATTTCGTACCATATTGATATCATTATGGAAAAATTAATATGAAACAGTATCAATTCCATATTTTTCATTTTTTTTCTCTTTGTAGGTAAAGTATATATTTGGGATATATATAGAATATATTCCTTATATCTTACAGCATAACTAGTTAAAATTACTTATTGGGATATCTTGTTTATACATTTGGAACTCTTTTAAGAGGAACTTATAACTATATATAATCTATTTTGGTAAAGTAAAATAAGGTTTTTAAATATTTCAACCTCTTATAACATAGTCAGATAGAATATACTATTTAAATATAGTATAGGCAATACGAGAAACCGTTATATTATAGAGCCCATACATTATATGTACCCAAGTGAATTACTATATCTTTGAGATATTCATATATTCCTCTGGTTAGCACTGAATCCTATACCTTAACTGGTTAAAAAATACTATTGAGACTATATAACGACTGTTGCGTTGTTTTCACAAGGCCCGTTTTCTGAAAATAGCTCCCTCATTCCACCGAAATTGCCAATCTACAACCATCCGACCATTTAACCCACCCACAACTGCCCCCGAACACAATTAATCTTTTTATTGGCCTTTTATCACATACGGATTCGATTCGATTCCGTTAATTAATTGCCGAATTAGCGTAGCGGTGTCATTAGCAGTAAAGCCGCAAGACGCTAAATCGAGTGGGTAAACATTGGGTAATTGGGAGACAGTTGGAGACCGACCCTCGCAGACCCTTCTCCAGGGTACAGGGTGCGCCTCCATTACCCTAATTACCCACCCACCGGAGGACCGGACGAGCCAAGCCCTCGGCGGGCTAATTCGATTCGCAAACAAACGCGTCTGGTTGGGCAAATATTTGCATACGTACGTCGTCGTCGTCGGTATTTTTCCCCCATATCCCATTCACTAATGTGCCATTTGATTGTCGTTCCAGTGCTCACGGCTCCTCCTGCTGCTCCTCCTCGTGGCAGGCGCATGCGCGCGGCCAGAAACAGTGCAGGATTCGCAGGATGAGCCAGGAACAGCCATACCGGCTCCTATCTCCGCGGGAAATGAAGTGGAAGCTACCACGCCATCAACTCCGGTTGAGACCATCACCCAAAGTACCTCCAATTCGGTGGCTGTGACTGAAGTAGCCACCACAACGGCCACGGCCTCGTCCACGTCGTCCTCCTCCACTTCGACCACCTCGGCTGCGCCGCTGCCGCCGGCTGCTCCCGAGGTTCCGGAGTACTTCAAGCACTGCTTCTACGCCGAGGAGCAGCTGTGCGGCCACAGCTTCGATGGACGCGGCGATGCCGGCGAGGGACAGGCGGCGGCGACGACGACGACGCCACAATGCCAGTGCAGGGAGCACCCGAGGAAGGCCAACTCCTGGTACTGCTGCAACATATCGCAGCTGACGATGATCTCCAGCTGCAGCAACATCTCGAAGTGGACCAGCCTGCATGTGCGCAACATGACCATGGAGGACATGGACCTGTCCAATCCCATCTTCCGATCGCTGCAATCCCTGGCCGTGACGGACGGCAACATCACGCGACTGGTGAACGCCTTTCCCCGGCTCTCGGCCCTCAAGTGCCTGAACATATCGAACAACAACATCTCGGAGATCCAGCCGCGCGCAGTCAAGGATGTGCCGCATCTGGAGTTCTTCGGCATGTCGAACAACAACCTGTCGCTGGTGCCCCATCGCAATCAGAACAAGAACATAACGCTGGACATCAGGTGAGAGGCAACTAGATCAGTGGTGGCCAGCAGATAGGCAATTTCCCTGCCGCTGCGCTGCCAGCGTTTTGGCGCTCACGTACGCTGTAAAGGAGAAAAACGTCACGCTTCTGCTGGCCACCACTGAACTAGATGAATGTTGAACCCAGACTAATCACTCCTCCTCTGCAGTGGCAACACGCGCATGCTGTGCAACCCGCTCAACGAGATCATCTACAACGAGAGTATCAACTTTGTGAACCCCAAGCACTCCTACTGCCAGTACAACGTCACCAGCACCTGGTTCCAGTCCACGGACAAGGTGTCCGTCGAGCAGCTGGAGAACAGGAAGCGCTGCATGACCAACTGTCCGGTGATCCCGAACTACGGCAGCTGCAACTGCACGCTGCAGAAGATCATGATCATCCAGGACAACCAGTCGAAGCCCCAGTGCCACGTCGACTGCTCCAATCTGGGACTGGTGGAGCTGCCGCAGCGACTGCCCGACAACACCTTCATGCTGAACATCTCGAACAACAAGATCACCAGGCTGGGCGACTACTTCCAGACGAACCCGACCTACTACAACATCAACCGACTGGTGGCCGACAACAACCAGATCACCTCCATCTACGAGTTCGAGGGCACCAAGTTCATCGAGACCTTCCAGCGCATCTACATGCGCAACAATTCGCTTAGCAAGGTGAGATACTCTAGGGGTTCTATGAATAGGATAATGAAGACTTAAACCCACACAGATACCCGAATACTTTCTAAACAACGCCCTGATGGACTCGGGGCTGGGTCGTCGCATCTACCTGGCCGGCAACAAGCTCGTCTGCGACTGCAACTCGGCCAAGACGCTGCAGAACTGGCTGAAGGAGCGCAGCTCCGACATACCCGACTACATGGAGATACGCTGCCGCAACCTGCCCCAGAATGTCTACGAGCTGCAGGAGGCCAAGCTGTGCCAGTCGCCGCCCGACTGGACCGACTACATCTACTACCTGATAGCCGCCGAGGTCATCCTGCTGCTGGCGCTCATCGCCAAGGTCTCCTACGACTACTGGGTCTTCAAGACGGCCGGCTATCTGCCGTGGCCGGCTAGCAAGATGCCCAAGTTGCCCTGCGACTGGTTGTGCGAGTCGTAAGCGCGGATTGGAGCTTGAAAAAACATCGACAGTTTGAAATTTCTCTATATTTAAAGGGAGTTTTCCCTTTATCGTATCGATACTGTGAAAAATATCGAAAATATCGATCATTTTTAAGCACTAGCTTGGACTTGCAGGGGTTTTTATAGAGGAGACAGACAGAAAATTTCTTTACCGTGACATAATCACATGACAGTTTGCTATTTCTCGATATTTAAAGGAAGTTTTCCCTTTATCGTATCGATACTGTGAAAAATATCACATGACAGAACTTTGTGCCTTTTATATATATACGATTTTTGTTGTCAATAGTTAATAGCCCTAAGAACTGTATGCATGTTATTGTCGTAAACTTGTAGTGGGTGCATCTGGAAATATACGTAAACGCAGTAACGTGGATCAGAAGAGAGTGGCTTAGGGTCTTCAGGTTAGTCAGCAAATCAGAGAAGTAAGTAGAGGCCGCTGAGATCGACGAGTAAATCAAGAGAGAAAGTCATGTTCAGAGTCCATTTTACGAATGATATTTATTGTTGTGGCTTGTTGTGATTTAAATAGAATAATTATTATTAAGAAAAAAATACGCACTTCCTCAAACGCTTCTTCCGATGCAGCTTAGATCTGAATCAGAGATCGGGGACTTTGGGTTTTAGATCGTTTCCGCCTACGGGCGATACTAAATACTAAATACCGTGTAGGATAGGGTGTAGGTTAAATGGGACGAGTGCGCCTGTGAGTGTGTTTTGGGTTGAATTATAGTTTTAGTGTGATGTGTTGTGGTGCCTTTTAAGGAATGTAATTGGGTGTACGAACGATGCCCTTGATTTGGCCACGTTTCCTTGTATAACTCTATACTTAAATATCTTGAGTTTGGTATTATTAGGGGACCTTTAAACACTGCCTCTCGCATAGTTCGTTATTTATTATCTTCGTATTCATCGTATGCATGTCTATATGTTCTTTTAAGTGTGTATTCGTTGCGTGATCTTGCATGTAAATATATATATATCATATATGTTATACATATTCGTCGAATGGCGCTAAATAAATAATACAAATCTACTAACTTAGGTAAATACTTTCGTCTTTGTGTATATGTAAATGTAAATGTCTTGAGCGCGCACCTAGGGGTTTTTAGTCTTGAAGTCAAGAGTCTATTGCACCTCCTAAACTGGGGCTCCCTATAAAGAGTACACTTGTTAGCAGAAGCCTGGAGGAGGAGAAGGCGACCCCGTATTTGAGCTATTGGATATACATGTAATATAACTATGAATTTATACATACATATATGAATAGCAAGTAGCAGATACATATCTCTAAAATGTTCATTGTAACCTTCTTTTGCTTTGCGTGTGTGGTGTTGTTAGATCTTAAGCTATAACGCTCCTCTGAGCTCCTAGGAGATCTCACATAGACTTCGAAAATTGAACAATTCAAGGAATGCGGGGGTGTCGAGTGTGTGTGTGTTACATGTGTTTAATTGATATAAGAACGTGGCAGAGGTGCAACAAATTTCGCTTTAATTCGTGTGTGTTACAGGTGAATTTAAAATTTAAATGTAAATTAGCCTATAATACTGAAGTGTAATACTGGCCGAGCAGTAAAAATAACAAATCTATGTGTGTGCTGGCTGTCTTCCTGTCCTCTAGTCCATCCACATCCACACTATTTCCCCCAAACATCGGAACACGTACTATATGTACAGACTTCCAAGGTAGATTTGCTAATCTACCTTAATCTAATCATCTCGACTACCCAAAAGCCTGAACGAGTGGGGAGCAAATCCTGGATCCTCATGGATATGGTTTCGGGGTCTTTGGGACCACCTTTCGATGTTGCGTGTAGCGTTGAATGCATATAGCTAAGTGATACATATATGTATGTTTTACCCATTTGATAGGTGCATCGTGTAAACAATAATAGCCTCGGTAGTCCGAAGTCTGCTCTCTCCGAAATTCCCTTCAGGAGGCCTCTTCTTTAATTCTTTTTCTAGGATTAGGAGGGAGTGCTTGTGGCTTTTTGTGGGGGATAAAATTAGCTAGTCATCTTCGTTAACAAAAATAAGTACAATATCCTTTGCTTTCGTATTTCATATTGTATCATGATGAGCTACATATATAGAACTATCAGTCTCACGTCCCATACCAAGGTAATAATAAAAATCTATGACATATTCGTTTAAGTACATACGTAGATCTGTACATGTGCATAATAGTTAATCGTAGATCGGCTCGTGTACGTACGACTGTGTGTGGTGTGTAGCGTTATATGCTTTGCTATGCAGAAGTGTCTTGGTTGGGTTGGTTGGTTGTTCTACGTGTGTGGTTCGGTTCCTGGATCCTGGGTTCTTAATGGGTCAAGGGGTGCTTTGCTGGATATCATCTTGATATATCTAGGCTTAGTGCTGGCTGGGATTGGGGTGTTGCAGTCCTGCTCTTGACCTATATGACCTATAATTTCATCGAAACAACAACAAAAAACACAACATGCAACAAGTACATCAATGTAAGCGAATACATACATAAATACATTCATCTGGGGCTCTTTACGCCGGTGCATAGGGTGTATGTATACGGTATATGGTATGTGTTATGTGGTATGTGGTAAATGGTTGCTATACAACATTTTCCTATGCCCGTTTTCTTTCTTTTTTTGTTTTGTTTATGGGGGGTGCACAATTGGTGATTACGCATTAGACATACGGCTTTTGATTTGTGATTCAATTCATTTCAAATTCAATTCGATTCAATTTTCGTTTGGTTTCCGATCATATTTGCTTTGCGTTTTCACAGACAACACCTAACGTACAACATCGGATGCTGGAGTTGCTGGAGGTTGTGCAAATACACATCTATGTACGACAATTAGATGATAGTAAATACAAGTACAAGTTCCCTTATTCAAATTCATTTGTAACCATCGCTTCGGTTCTGTTTCTGTCGGAATCGTAATCGTAATCCAAAGAATAAAGCCTCGACCAGACTTCCGATTCAGTCTGGTCTAGGCCTCAATTTCATTTTCATTTCCCAGTTCAGATTTTAGAACCGCTCCGATTAAATGTCAATTTTAGCTTCGTTCCACGCCAATTTCCAGTTGTGTTAAAGTATCTCGGTCTCGTACAGCTGTTTAGTGGTCGTCGTGGCTGTCTGGTGTTGGGAATTTGAATTTGAGTTTGCGTTTGAGTTGGAGTTGGAGTTCGCAGCAGCAGCGCCCGCACCAGCCGTTCCCGCAGCTCCTCCGCCACCAGCACCGCCGATCGCACCGCTCGTAGCATCACTGGCCACCACACCATTGGTAGCCGCAGCAGCAGACGCCGCCGTCGCCGCGGCCGCAGCTGCGGCTCCACTAGCCTCGCAGGCCAGGCTCAAGGCGGCGATCTTCTGCTGGATGTTCGTCTCGCTGCCCAGCTTCCGGAGCGAGTTGCTCTGGTCTGAGGTGGATCCCGAGGGACAGGCCACATCCACCGAGGGCAGCTTGCTCATCTGCTGCAGACGCTGGTACTGCTCCTGCAGCATCTTCTGCTTCTTGAGCAGCTCCTGGTGGCGCATCTCCAGGGCCACCTGGCGCTGCGCGTGATCGTTGCCCGACTCGTTGCCGCTCGAGTTGTCCCCGCTGGAGGTGTCGCCGCCGCTAGCCGAGATGGGAGCGATGGGTTCGCGTTCACCCACTTGTCCCGGATTCGGATTCGGATTCGGGCTGGTTGGACTGGCCAGTGGACTGCGTGAGCTGGTGCGTGGCGGCGGAGGTGGCGGGATGCGCTTGTGGCCCACCTTGGTGATCAATTCGGCGTTTCGCTCGGGCACGGGTGGCTTGTTGCTGCTGCCGTTGGCCAGGCTATTGGCTTCGCTGGCCCGCGGACCCGTCGGCGGCGGAGGCAGCTCGCCGTCCGACTCACTGGGATACGAGTGTAGGCGGCGCAGGCTGCCCATGTTGGTGTGCACCATCAGCTGGGCCTGCGAGGGCTGCGACTGCTGGTGGGTTAGCACTCCTCGCTGGGATTGGGCTTGAGATTGAGATTGAGTATGAGATTGGGCCGAGGACGAGGACGAGGCCACAGCGATGACCATGCTGCCGGTGGTCGCCTGCTGCACATTGACGCTCGCCTCCGTGTAGAGACGGGCCTGCGATATCTGCGTGGTGACGGTGCTTTGTACTGCGGCCTGTGCGCTCTCATCGGATGCCGAGTCTTCGGGGCGAATCTGCGGAAGGAGGAGGAGACTTGGACCCCTTGAGTGGATGGGTGGAGGGATAAGCCTTGTGCTCGAACGTACCTCGTATAGTTGCTGGTGTTGCAGCTGCTGTTGTTGCTGCTGCTGCTGCTGTTGCTGCTGCTGCTGCTGCTGTTGTTGGGCAATGGGCTTGGAGAATGTCTTGAGCTCATCTAGCAGAGCATCGAGTGCGTTTTCGGGTGCGAGTCCCCCGCTGAGAGCGAACGACCCCATCCTGGGTGTTGGGATTGGCTACAAGAACACACAATTTGGCGGTAAACACACAGGCACTAATGCGGCTCCCGCGAGGCGAAGGCAATATAGTAGTATATATATAGTGGGTAGTCGGATATAACATCTCACATTTATACATTTGGCAATTAGGCACTCAAATGGGACACATATAGTATATATTCTCGCAAATTACGATACGCAACTAACCCAGCAATATAGTATATATAAAAAACCAAAAAAAAAACAAGTATCGCCATCGAAAAAAGGTGCAGTTGCATAGGAACGGATCATGCTGTGAAAGAAGCTCCTTACTTTACTGTATACTGCATACTGGTTAAGCGAAAACAATTAGAACATATATAGAACATGATCGGTTGGGGGTCCAGTACATCGACATATATATTCATATTCACAAGCAGGCAACAAGCAAAGGTAAGCGTTCTACAAAGGTGGAGTGATGGAGATATATGATATATGATATTTCCTGGTAGCGAATCACTTTGAAATGCCGCGGGTTATGAGACAGGGGAGATGCGGATGCGGTGATGGATGATTATTGTGATTACTATGAGCTCTAAGCTTAAATAAATAGCAATTCCAAAGAGGTGTTCACCGATTACGATGCAGAATGTCGGGGGATAGTGTCTATGTCTATGTGGCATATGTTTATCTATGGATCTTCCCTTTACCAGCTGTACTAGATCTCATCTAGATGGATCTAGATAGAGTATAGCCTTTAGACGCGGATTGCTTAATTAACACTAATACTGATTCTGATGATGATGCTTGTTTTGTTTCTCGGGGGGAAGGGAAAACACGCTCTTAGAGTTACGCTTGTGATTGATGAGGGGCTGATAGGTCGATGGGTTGATAGATTGATAGATTGTTGAAACTTCAAAGACAACAATCGATGAGTGAGAACAACAGTGACTGAGAGTGATGACTGTTTGCATACTTGATTGAGATTGACTGCAATACAAAATTGGCCGTTCGATTGTCTAGTTATGATTTGTTGTTTAGGTACTAAGAGTAGTTGGGGATGTTTCGGTATGACTTTTGGGGGACTTGGACTTGGTTTTGGTTTTGGCTTGGGGGAAGTGTACATAGAACGGGGGTACACACACATATACATACATACATATTCGCTAATTCGTATATTTGTATATATACACACACATATCACATATGCGTTGATCGCAACTACAAAAAATCAATTAAAAGTTTGGCAGATTAGCTAGGTGAGTAGTTCGTTCTTCTTTTTTTCCTTCAGCGGGGAGTGTCCGTACGATTGGAATAAATGGAAACACTTAATGAAAAAGGCAGTGGAAGTTCGGGAATGGGCCTTAAAAAAGCCCTAATAGATCATTAACTTGGTATCTTTTTTTATCTGTATCTGTAGATCTGTGTTTTCCTGTTTTGTTTAATTAATTTGAAGCTCAAACCGAAAGGTTTGGTGGTTTCTTGGATTTCAGTCTCGGACAACAATGATTGATAGCGTGACTGAGGAAGGAACTTCGACCGGAACCGGAGGTGTACACATTTCGGGGGGAAGGAGACAGAGACAAAGACAAAAACAACATGTATGTATAACAAGGAACGAGCACCAACAGGAGACTTGCAAAGCAGCGAACACCGAAAACAAAACTCCTCGTACGGATATTATGGGTGATATAGGATGGATGTGGTTGTGAGGCAAAATCAACGGGGGATTGAGTCAAAAAAAGAGGGTGTTTGGATACATTTAGCCCTTTTGAAAACATCGAACACCAAAAAGGTGTGGACATAGTTATTATAACAAAATTATATCCATTTTGCTCTGGTACTTTTTAGTTTTTATAATCGGAAAAGGCAAGTTAAAAAAAAAGCCAGAATACCTCTTAATTTCCATCTTTTATTAGAAAAGAAGACTATCATAAGATCGGATCGGAAATGGGATTTCGGTTGGGAAACGCAGACAGTCATTCAAATGGGCTTTTTTTTCGTTTCTTTTTGATACATTTATGTACATACGAACTGGGATATGTAGCTATGGGTTTCTGGATTTGCGGGGGTTGCGGTTCTTAGGAGTGTTCTTCTGGATTTTTGATGAGATTTGATATGGGTTATCGATTTTAGTACGAGTATTAGTTTAGTTAGAAGTTTATAGCAGTAGTAAATAGTATACAAAATATAAACTAGTATGTTTAATGCAGAGCAAATTATGTTTAGCAAAAGGAAAATTGAATTAATTTTATGATTTCTTTTTCAAAAAGGTTTCTTTTCTTTTTGGTTTGTTTATTTATATTTTTGGTTTTGTTTTTTGGATTTTTTCGGTTTGGTTTGTTTTTTTGTTTTGTTTAAAATGTTCTTTTTTATATTTGAATTTTCAGTCATTACTCAGTAATTGCCTCTTTGAAGTTTGAACTCCATCGCCAGTTAAACTATGTGGGTTGTAGTTGTTGTTGTAAACGTTATTCAAAAATGTTTGAGAAAAGGCAAAAAGAGAAAACGAAGGTAAACCTCATTTTATAAGACGTTAGCTTTGCTTTATAAATTAACTGTTGTGTTCTGTTTTGAATATTTTCGATATTTTTGTTGGTTTTTGGTTCTCAGTAGTAAGTATGTGATGATGATTGCAACTGGATACTTGGTTACTTGGATACTTGATAAACTTGATAATAATTTTGGGTATCTGTAATTGTAGCTGTGGTATTCGGTTGCTAGTTGTGTGTACTTGTGTTCAAATATCTAAGACCCAACAAGGCAAGCTCAGAACAATTAGCTTGGGGGTTGGAGGGGCAGGAGGCAATAGCAGAAAGGCGAGGGTCAAGGGTCAAGGGCACAAGGGGTCACGGGGTCCGCGGTGTTATCCCATTCGATTCGAATTCAAAATTTCGATACTGTTACTCACGCTGAATGAATTTGGATTTGTTGAATGGGGTTTCGAATAATTTTTGTGTGAAATGAACGATGAACCAAAACACTATTTATGTAACAACAGCCAATTGCAACTTATTCATAAGATAAACGCACAAAATATAAACCGAAGACTACAAACGAATAAGTGTAAGGTAATCAAGGTTATTTCGGTTGATACAATTCGTATTTCAAATCAAATTTTGCACAGTACCCAATTCAAATGGTAAATCACCGCCAAAACTAAAGGTCCACGGTTGGATGTTTGCGTCTACATATATGTACATACATACATCCCGGAAAAGTGCCAGGACAGACAGACAAACGGACGGACGGAGAATTTAGTTGGGAAAAGCGGGGATTCGGTTCGTGGTTCGCGGCTCCTAAATATATATGTATACTTTATATATTATATATGTGATATAGTCGCAGGATCGCTACGAGACTGGAGAGAAGATCAGATCATACCGTATCTGGTGAGGTGGATTCGAAATAAAAGCATAGCAAACTCGATATATGGTAGGACGAAAGCAACTAATCTCTGCGATAGAAATATGGTGGAAACAGTACTTTTATACATATGTATATATAGTCATGACACGTTATGGAGCAGTATAATATGTATATAAGTATATGGAAATGGCCCCATAACGCTTTCTTGGGCTTGGATTTGGATTTGGATTTGAACTAGCTCTGTGTAACTGTCGCAGCACCACGGCAATGGCCTCTAATCTCGCCCGGGCTCCAGGATGCTTCGCACTCACCTTCTCCTGCGCCGAGATGTCCGCGGATCGCGGTGGCTCCTCGCTAATAGTCGGCTCATTAGGCGGCAGCCGCTGCTCCTGCACGCTGGCCAAGCTGTGGGAAAACAAAGGGGAATTAGTTCCTCTGGATTTCAGCTGACGGAGGGGCGCACAAACCGTTTGAGAGTCACCAAGGTGCCGGTCAGTTTCTTGCAGCGACGCAGCGCCGACTCCAGGCGATCGGGCTCTTCTTTAAGGAACTTTTCTTCGCGCACCACCTTCTCCATCTCGTTGGACAGAATGCAGCGCAAGCCATTCGAAAGGGCCGGGAACTTGAGCTTCAGTTCGGCGACAGTTTTGCTAAGGAATATATCATGGGTTTTAAATATATGTGAAGTGTTTAAAGGTAAGCTCTACCCACCTGGCCCGACTCAGCACCAAAGCCATGTCCTCCACGGCGGTCATGTTGACGCGAGTGCGGCGGTTTATCACCTCGCCGCGCAAGTTCTCCACGGATCCCTCCAGGTCGCTGAGGTCCTTCTCCAGCCGGATGACCTCCTGCTTGTACAGCTCCTCCTCGCGCGAAATGCGCGTGGCATCCTGGTCGCCCTGGTGGTCCCAGAAGCTGCCGCTGCTGGCCAGCAGAGTGGCGCGAATGCGCATGAAGGTGCCCTTGATGTCCTCGCGCACGGCGACGGCCTGGGCCTGCGAGAGGCGCCTCAGGGTGCGGACCTCCATGCGCAGGTCCTTGGCCTTCTTCTGCAGCCCGCGCAGATGGTTGTACACCTCGGGGGCCAGGGCGATGTCCGCCCGGTAGCTGGGATGGGCGGTCTGGGCCAGGACGATCGGCTTGGGCGGCGGCGGCGGCTTTAGGCGGTCGCGCTCTGGGGAGGCACAGCAAAATGGTTAGGAACGTTTGGCCAGAAAGGGGAGAACGAAATGGAATGGATAAACGTGGCTGATGCATGCGTGACGTCGTCGTCTTACCTTGTGACGAGGTGCGTGGTAGGGTGGACGACTTAATTGCCGGCTTGGGTGGCTTCGTGTCAGCTGTAAGAACCACGTGAGAAAGGGAAACGGATGGCTTGCATTGTGTCTAGAAAGCGTTTCACGCCCACCATTTCCCCACACACTCAGAACAAAAATCGCCAAAATAAGTTATAAAAGTATTTAAAACAAGAAAGGAAGCTTATAGACCCTTTCTATTAATTTACAAATCGCAAAAATGTTAAATTTCCTATTATTTCTCACTAATTTTTCGATTGTTCCCATGGCAGCTATATGATATAGTCGTCCGATTTTGATAAAATTTAATTCAAAATTAAGTTTTAGATAAAAAATGGTATTTCCAAAAGTAAGTTATATTTTAAAAAACACCCAAGATATATTTTTTTTTTATGTCTAGTTCGACTCGTCTAGTGATCAAAAATATATATACTTTATGGGATCGGAAACATCTCGCTCACTGCTTGCAAACTTCTGACTGGAATCATAATACCCTTTGCAAGGGTATACAAAATTATAATTATAAAGGAGTTTTAATGACTAAACAATTTTTGTTCCGAGTGCTAGGGGCTGTAGAGAATTTACCGGCATGTATGGGGTTGTGCGACTTTGGTATTCCCTGAATGTCATCGCTAAACGACACGGACTTCTCAAAGGACACGGATTTTTCTGCAAGACAAGGACAAGACAAGTGAGGACTCTAGAGGACTGGGTGGATCGGGCGACACTTACGGCACGAGTTCTTGCCCAGTTTGGGAGCTTTCTCCCGAATATACAGCTCGTCCCCGGAGCCGTTGGCTGCGCAGCGTGCGGAAGAAAGAACAAATGGGATAAGTAAAAGCGAAAATCCTGAGGTCTTAAGTTCTACAAAGCAGTGCCAAGCGGGTGCCGAGATTCTAGGGATTCGACAAGTACACACCTTGCATCTGCGACGGCACGACCAGATAGTTGGGGTCCAGGGTGGGCACGGCCAGCGGGGCAATTTGTGGATTCTGGTTGACCAGGGCCTTCTGCACCAGGCCTGTTAGGTTGGCCAGCTGCCGCTCCATGTGCTCCACGCGAATCCGGTGCAAGTCCTCAGGTCTGCAAGCAAAAGAAGTAGCTGAATTAGTACAAGACCTATACAACTTGTCTCCAAGTGTTGCGTGCTGCTTATTGGGCCACACATCCGCTGTTGCTGTTGCTATCGCTGTTGCTATTGCTATTGCTCCAATTGCGCAGCCAAGCCTAGGCATCCGTCATCGCAGCTGAGACACCGGAATTGGCACCGCCATCGGAAAATGCAAGTCGAAACAGTCAAGAATGCAGTTGTTCTCTGCCGCCGTTGCGACTCCGATGTACCCTATAGCCCAATCACAAGCCAGATCGCCTCCAAGGGGTCCAATATGCCCACTGCCATGCTCGGTAGGTGCCAACACGCAACGCCGCTCCGCTTTCGCAGTCTGCGACTGCAAGAACCAGTGCACCAAGAGAGCTGGCTGCAAAAACATGACTACCTGCAGTGGTATGTATTGGGAAACCGACTGGCGATGGCCCTGGACTCATGACGAATTCGATTCTGAATCCGAATCAGTGGTCAGCACGCCAGCGCGCTTCGCCAGCTGCCTGGTCAACTTTCAGATGGACGAGCTGCTGCTGCTGAAGAGGTCCGTGATGCGAATGGAGTCGCTGGACGAGGACAGTCTTCCCGATGAGGATGTAGTCTTCCCGATGCCGGAGACGAATGGATCGGAATCGCAGCTCCCGGAGCGAATGGCCTTGATGGCCGCCGATCGGTGGGTAAGCCTTCTGCATCCAAGTGAGAGATATAAATATATATTCACAGCGGCGAGCACCACGACACCACCGGCGGCTCCACTGGTCCCTGGCACTCGCATCCACCGCCACATCCGCCGACCTCCTGGGCCGAGCAGAAGCCCTCCAAGCTGCAGACCCTCTTCCAAATCAGCATCACGGCCCTCGCCTTCCTCTCCTTCGGCGGCTACCTGCTCTGCCTCATTGTGCAGGCCATCAAGAGCAAGGGCACCACCTACTTCCATCCGGTGGCCACGACCAGCACCAGTGCATCCAATGGGAATGTGAAGCGGATCAAGGTGTACAGACGCAGCAGGCGGAGTCCCGATCTCCGCTTCATCCTGCTGCAGCAGGACTACGCCTCCTACATGAAGGCCGTGCGGGAGCAGGGCGGATGGAGGAGCATGCTCACCTAGTGGGATCGTAGATCTGGTTGCCGCGGTGCGCCAGGCGATTGGGTCCCACCTTGATGCCGTACAGGGCGTACTGATCCTCGGTCATCGTTCCGTCGCTGTGGATTGATAACTGATTAGTAAATGGTTCTAGTAATTACTCCCTAGCTCACCTCTGTTCCTCGTCGATAATGGGTGCCACCACAGTGCCCCTCGTCCCGTATTGGCTGTAGTACGGCTCCTCGTAGTTCCCACGGCTGCTCCTCTCCGGCGAACTGGTGTAGCCGTCTGAAAGAAGAGCCTCCTCGGTTAGAACTACTGCACTTGGATGGGTGCATAACTGTGTGTACTCTATACTCTATCATTTGGTAGTTCAATTTAGGAGTAACGAAACGCAATAAAGGAATAAATGAAATGGATGGGATGCCGATTGGTTGTGTGTGTAACGTAAGATGTAAGATTTAGGATTTAGATTTATGTGCACTGTCCAATGTCGTATTAAATTGGAATTTCTAGCGGTTCCACAAAGCAAGCTTTCAGGCCAATGATAGATCGGATCGGATGTTATGTGTCTCACATACCGTTTACAAGTACGTGGAAGCGAGATTTAGCTATAATTGGTTATTGGTTAGAGAGCAAAGCAAATTCTCGTGTACCTGGAATGCTGTATAACTGATCCGGGGTGTAGGGGAACAGGGGTTCCATGCTACCCCTTGGATTGAGTGATCTGAGTGGTTTCACAGGCGCTCCTTTTTTGGTTTCGATTTGAGTGTTGTTAATGGTTAATGGATGGAACATGAATCATATTTAGAGAACTGAGAACTGAACTGAGCCGCAAAATACTGAATACTGAATACTGAAGAGTTCCGGAAGGAGGATTTTATAAACACGGAAGGAGGAGGCAAACGGGGCTGGGGGGATCAGGATCACTCGGAACGGAAGGAATCAAAAGCATACGGAATACGGAATACGAATCAATAAGTCAATAACGCACCCATCGACACCTTGTTGCGTTCTGATGAGTACATGCCGCGGGGCAACGTCTGCGACGAGCCCACGTAGTAGGGCGCCGGCTGTTTGCCAATCTGAAAGATAGATGGATGTGGATAAACGGTGTTTCGGATTAGTTCATTGAATCGCCAGAGGGCAAGAGTATAAAACAGGGACAGGCAGGGGCTGAGGCTATTTCGATCAACACTGCCAATTGGCCTTCGTTCAAGTAGTGAAATGAAATGTCCAATATGGTTTCTCCTCTCTTTAATGACTGTTCGTTGCCTATCCCAAACATTGTGCACAGACACGTACTCGCAGGCACACTGAGAGAAAAACTAGCTATATGCAAGTAGTATCAAACTGATCTTTAAATTTAACTATTAATAAAACTAAAGAATAACAATAAGAAGTTTGATTTCTGGAGCAGATTTTTAATCTTATTTCTTACAAGTTGTTCAGGATTGCCTCTAAATTATATCAGTATATGCAAATAATAGCAAACTGATCTTAAAATTTGATAATAATGTCAAACTGATCTTAAAATTTGATAAGTAACCATCTTATTGATCTTGAAATTTAAAAATATATGTTATTATTTCATTTATAATTTCCTAAAAACCGTTAGAACATTATAAAGTTTGATTTCTGGAAAACATTTCCAATCTTACACATATTTTTCAAGATTGGCTCTAAATTATATCGATCTTAAGTTTATTTTGAAATAGATTTCAAATCGTATACATAATTCTTAGGATATACTAAATCAATTCTTAATTTATTTCAGAACATTAGAAGCTTGTATTTCTGAATAGATTTCCCATTCGATACATATTTTTCATAACAGGTCCCCAAAATTCTGTTCATAAGATTTCTAACTTTATATATATGGTCTAGGCCACCATTATTTGTTAAGACTGTGGCGCTTAAATCCCAATTTCAAGCGCTGACTGACGGCCATGGCAAGATGAATACCAGTTAATTGGCAAATGTACGTCGTACATTGTACATATGCCCACCCGCCACTCGATCAATCAGATCGATCCCCTCACTTACCAAATTAGCCAAGCACAATTCGCCGAATTCAAAGTCTTTTCCTGTCTCCATCTGCCACTGAGCCAGAGGATCAGTGGGTCAAGTTTGGTTTTCTAGGCACTTTCCTGGGTTCTCATTAGATGATAGGTTTGCAAATTGGTTCGGGGTGCACCATAAATCCCTGGAGAGTGCTGGAGTGCAGCAAGTGCAAGTGGTTGGCTCATTCCAGCGACCACAGAGTGCCAGCCACGGCAGCCCACAGACCTCAACCAGTTTCGGATTCAGTTTCGATTTCAATACAACCGTTTTACAATTTGTTACAACTGAGCGAGGCGAGACGAGAGCTTGGAGCTCGGAGCTGCTGCTTTTTGTTACGGAGGCAGCGGCATCGACATCGGCATTGGCGTCTGGGTTTTCGGCCCAACTCAACCTGGCTGCGGCGCATGCGTGGATGATTAGTGAAGTGCGAGACATCGCGGCAATCGGACGTTGCAGACGCGTAGAAGATCGAGATTAAATCCCAGATACAGAGAACGGTACATAATGTCGCAGGGCCTTCGTGTTTTATTTTTTGTGTGTGTCGCGGTGCTCCTAAACGCGGTCGCCTCCTTCGCATGGAAGCCAATCGCGGGGGGCTCGCCCATCGGAAGCACCGCCGCCTACAGCCTCAAGCAATCGCATCCCGGCTCGGCGAGCAGCAGCCACGAGATGTCCACCAGCTTCTCCCAGTTCGCTTCTGGCAGCGAAAAGGAAACAGCCGAGGATGAGCTGGGGCTCCTGGGCAGGGCGGATCCCTCCCAGCATCCCATCAGCTTTGCTGATCATGTGGAGGATCAGTACGAGTCGTACAGCATCGAGGATGAGGCGGCGGCGGCGGCGCCCAAGGAGCCGCTGACCTTCGCGCGGACTCCGCTGTACGGATCGGATCGGTGCAGCGTGAAGAAGTTTGCCTTTAACCAGGACGGCGAGGTGGAGTACGGCAATCCGATGCCGGAGCTGGATCAGTTCACGCTCTGCTTCTGGATGCGGTTCACCAACCACAGCGGCGATCACGTCCTCCTGACCTATGAGGGTGAGTTATGATCTCTAAGCTCCAAGCTGGGGATCAGCCTCTCACCGTGACTTGCTGTGGCCACTGTGGCTACTGGAGACAATGGCTTACATAAGCGGACTGCTCGGCTGCTGACGGACGTCGATCTTTTGATGGAAATGGAAATGGGAGTGGACTGGGGCAGGGGTGAGAGACCTTCGCTGTGGGCAATGAAATTTTAAATTTCATTTGTGAATTTGTGGGCCACGCTCCGGTGATCGCACCTGGCTGCGAATGCGACTCCGACTGCGAAAGTGAAAGGAAGCCCACTTCCTGATGCAAGTCAGCACTAAACGACAGGTTGATGGTCAACTAAGATGATGATGATGATGCTGGTCGAGATTATGATGAGGTCTTGGTAGTGAGAAGAGACTGACAATGTCTTGTTACCGTTTTTCACCTTAGAGATTCGCTGCTTTGTTTTCCCAAGTCTTTTGGATTTTTGGAAATTTTTACAACTGCCCCATGACGCCGTCTTTGCCACCGTTGGTCTCTTGTTGTTGTTGTTGTTGTTGTTGTTGTTGTTGTTGTTGCTGTTGCGGTCGCATTACATAAGCGATAATTTACCTGTTTCCAGTTGGATGTCTCTCGTCGGCATTGTTGGTGTCGCTTGAGCTTCAGCTTCGGCTTCAGCTTGAGTCTCAGTCTTCAGCCTTAGCATTTGACATAATTCCAAAGCCTCAATTCGAGTGATTCAATTCAAGCGGGGAGCAGCGATAAACGATCTGCGATCTGCGATCAGCGGTGGGGCTTCCGGATTTATAGGAAGTCGAAGCTTTGCGCCAACAGCCGGTGGTGATTCATATTTAAATGTATGCATATCACATGCTCGTATGCCTGGCCGCCTAACAGGATTTTCCGCATGCCGGTTTTATAGCCTCCCAGCTCCCCGGGATGATGAGCTTCCTGATCTTCCGTGTCTCTCTCCTCTTTTCGGGTGATGTAATATAGTATAGCATAGTATTCTCCAGTTGGTGTTCAAGTGTCGCAAACATTACCATCAATGGATATATTGAAAGCGAGTCCGAGTCTGATCCACTTATGCTTATCCACAGCGGGAAAGGAACCACGCGAGGTGCAAATCTGGGTCGCAAATGCGCAGAATTCCAGTTTCCTTTCGATGGCCATAAAAGGTCAGCAAATGTACAGGTGAGTCGAGTCGCAATCGTCCATCAATCAACTTGGCTTATCCATTCAATCTTTCAATCGTTTCTGGGCAAGATTGAACTACCCGCTGAAAATGCGCCAGTGGCATCACATGTGCAGCTCGTGGAATGGCAAGACGGGCGAGTGGCAGGCCTGGCTGAAGGCAGAACGCATTGGGCGTGGCTTCCACAACTCGGTGAGTATGGCTATGGATATGGATGGAGCTCCAATTACACCTATTACGCCTATTGCGAAAGTGTAAATATATGCCATACGTACACTGATAAAAATGTCATGATTATCTGCATATTGAATTCAATATACAAAAAATGATTTAACATAAAACATTTTAAATCAAGGTCGAAAATATTACATTCATATTTAGTTATATTTACTTTAAATGTATTTATTTTACTGGCTCCATCTAGCGGTCATTCAATTTTGGTTCATAACTTTTCAATGCATTGTCCGATTTTAAAGTTTTCTTCTACATTTCGTTGGGTATTAATAAACGCAACAAAATGACATTTAAACTTTTACAAAATCGGTAAAGATGTGGGAGTCAGCTACTGTGGGCGTACGATTGGGCGTGGCGCTTGGATGAAACAAACTTGCGCTGCGCCTGAAGCCCAAGAATATGTGTGATTAATCCCAACCTTCTAGCTTTTGTAGTTTCCGAGATCTTAGCGTTCATACAGACGGACAGACCGACAGACATATGAAATCTTTGGATTTAACACGTCTTTTTTTATCAGTGTACATTTTCGCTTTCAACCTGCGAATGTCAGATGCTGTAATCCGCCGTGCTTAATCTCTTTTCGCAGTTGGTGGGTCATAAAATCCCAGCGAACGGCAAGTTGCGCTCCGGCGGCTCTTCGGTGACCGGCGAGGTGAGCCACGGCCTGCACTTCGAGATGACCCTTGTCCAGGTCTACCGGGTGGCGCTCAGTGCGGGGAAGGCGCACCGCGACCACAAGCACCACCATGTCCACCACTTTGACCACGAGGGCCTGGAGGTGTCCAGCACCACGCGTGCCCCGCCCTCGGTGAGTGTTTTTCAGGGGATTTCTTTGTGACCCATAAGATCTTTATGATATCTGCTCGCCAGATCAATCGACCCCAGCCCATGCACACGCTACTGGCCAGCGGACAGATCCCTACGCGGGTGCGCATCAACCTGGCCAACCCGCCGCCACCGCCGCCGGCCAATGGAGCTGCCGCTCCAGCTGCTCCGGCAGCTGCCGCCGATCCTGCCCAGCAGGCCATCACCATCAATACGAACTTCGTCAACGGACAGATCAACGCCGGCTCCCGGCTGGTGGCCCAGCAGCTCCTGGGACTCTCGCCGCCGCCGAGCGGTGGTCAACGCTTCCAGATGCTGAGCAACTCGGCCAACGTGCAGTTCATCGACGAGACCGAGACCCACATCCAGTTCAAGCGGGAAGCCGCCGCCTCCTCGAAGAAGCTGCAGAAGCGCGGCCTGGTGCTCCTCGACGATGGATCCGTGGTGGACGACGGATCGGGAACGGACAGCGAGGACGCCAGCCTGATTTACAATGGCCTCGCCGACTTCGGGGGCCAGCAGTTCAAGCAGGACCTGACGCTCAAGATGAGCCTGGAGGAGGAGATCAGCACGCACGACCGGGAGCCCGCCGAGGAGGAGGTCAAGGCGGTGATGGCCATCTGCAGCAGCTGCCACACGGAGCCCTTCCAGGGGGCCATTGTGTTTGCGTGGAAGGATGTGCGCGAGCACATGAACAACGCCCTCAAGGGACTCAGTGTGGGCCAGTGCGGCAACTTCTAGTTGAGATCCAAGGACCCCAGCTTGAGCTTCCTCTATCCATTCCCCATCTATCCTATCCATCTTTGTTTTTTTTTTGTTTCTTCTATATACATACGACTAAGTATTCGATTGGAGTGGGCATCTTCTGACCAAGTCCACATGTCCATGTGGGAGTCAACGCTTTACAGTTACAATCCTTGACTCGCTCATGGACACCCATCCCCATCCCGATCCCCAATCCCCACACCCTAGCAATTACGCGGTGATATTGAATAAAGGACTATTTAAATCAAAAGCAATGTTCCCAGATTAGAGGTTTTCCCCCTAGATTTAGCGGGTTTTTGACGTGCTAAGGGGAACGTTTAGGGGTTTTTTTCGGGAAATTTTATTACCCAAATGTTTGGAAAAAAACGACTTTCCTTTCGAGTACGCAGATTTTTCCAATCTTTAAATTTCTACAACGTCATATTGAGATATTTCGAATTTCGAAAACTAATTTCTTAGGGGGAAATATCGGCTGTTTGAGATTTGTTAGGGGAAGGCTAAATTTTCATCTGGCAACACTGATCAAAAGACTCACCTTTGACTTGTGGATGTGCTGGTGCTTGTAGTCCGAGTCGAACTCCGGCTCGCTGAAGTAGCTCTGGTCCTGGTCCCAGTTGGCCTGCGCCGGCGGCAGCGGCTGCGGGATGCCAGGGCCGCCGGGCAGGATCTGGGGCGGAGCGGCCACCTCGGTGGACTCGAAGAGACGGAGCACCGAGCGATCGCGAATCTCGCGCAGGTGCGAGCGCACATCCTCCAGCTCGTAGAACATGTCCTTGCTCGCATCGTGGATGTAGATCTTCACGTTCGGCCCCTCCAGATACGACATGGTCAGCTGGCGCGGGAACGAGCGCACGAACAGGGCGCGCACCGTGTCGATGGAGGTGATCTCGTTGGGCAGCAGGGCGCGCTTCGTCTCCGAGCGGTACTGCAGAAAGACCAGGCCCAGTGGCCGCTCCAGCGTTTTGGAGGGCGTGCGTACCACGGGGAGCGAGGAGCGCTGCTTGCCGCCCCGCCGGAATCCGGTGCTGGCCGTTTCCACCTCCGACATGATGCCCGGATCGTCGTCGAACAGCGGTCCCTGATTCACTGGCGCATAGCCCCGCATCGGCTGGTTCTTCTTGTTCTTCTGGGCGCGCGTGCTCATCTGTGGGAGTGGAAGTGGGATTACATTGTGATTCTATTTATATTCTATCTCAATTTCAAGAACATTTTATCTCAAAAAGCAAAGAGTAATTTCTTCTTGATTTCAAAAAGATTTCTTCTTAAATAAGTGAGAACATTTGATATTGTCCTTTTTCCAATCTCAATTCCAAGATGTTTTCCTCTCAAAAAGCTAAGAGTAATTTCGTCTTGATTTCAAGAAAAGCAAAGAGTTAATTCGTCTTGATTTCAAGAAGGTTTCTTCTCGAATAACTGAGAACATTTGATCTTGTCTTTTTTCTAGTCTTCATTTCAAGATGTTTTTTATCTCAAAAAACAAAGAGTAATTTTGTCTTGATTTCGTGTTCTTACCTCCAGATCCATGGCGCGCTGCTGCTGTGGCGCCATCTGGTGGGCGTGAGGATGCTGGGAGCCGCCGTATACCAACATGTCGCCGCCGAGCGTGTGTCGACGTGGATCATCGCGACGCATGGCTCGTCGTCGTTCGTCGCCGCCGCCGCCTGGAGAAAAGCACACATGTACACTGGATGAAACCCCTTTCCTGGACAGTGGTCAACTTACCCTGTTCGTTGGGCGGAAGACGTCCCGACTTGGCTTCATTCTGCCAGTCTTCTTCTGAAAGAGAGCAATTGTTAGGTACCTCACACAACATCTCCTTCTCTCTCACTTCTGGAGAAGCGCACACTTACCGCCCTCTCTTCCCTTGCGCTTCTTCTTCGAGGAGGAGCTGCTGCTGCCGCAGGCGCTCTGGTTAGAGGAGGCGCTCTTGTCTTTGCTCTTCCAGCGGATCAACATCCTGCTTCTTTCTGTGTAGCTCAGTGGCAGCTGCGCGGTGAAAAGGGGACTTAACACAACGTAACACAGGGCGTATGGGTAATGTGGGCAATAGCTGGACTTTGTTTACGTTCGGTACCGGCAACAACACGCTGAACCGCCCACACACACACCACTTACAGCACTCAACTTTGGTGTAGATACCGCCCACATCCTGGGACCCTAACCCTTGAGTGGGTGTGGTGGAATGTGGAATGGAACCTAGCAGTGCCAATGCAAAAGGCAGAAGGCATGCAAAGCAGTGCGCAAACTCTGCAGCACGGGAAGAAGCAGGACCGAGCGAGTAGAAGGCGTGACTGGAGCTGGATCTGAATGCGAATGCGAATCTGGAACTGCATATGGATCTGGATCTCTGGACAGCAGAGATGACGCTCTATCATAAGTTAAAAATCGCATTTCCGGAGTTAATGATGCTGAAATATCTCCTACTTCCGGAATTGCATTATGTAAATGATGCTTTTTATCGCTTCTTTGAGTTATGCATGAATGTAAAGTCACTTTTTTTTGGCACACTCTTCACTTTACTCGGCTGCATGTACACACTTTGCCTGTTGTTCCCAAACAGAAGCTCCAAACGGAAGGAAGGGGCAGGAACGGGGACATGAACAGACATGTGTACATACGAAACATGGTGTATGGTATATGGTATACTTTCTAGTGCACGCACTCCACGGGTTTTTTGTGTCTGCCGTGTACACACATCCACTAAAGGAATTTTTGATTAGATTTTTAGGTGCGGTGCTCTATCCCGTTTTTTGACGAGCACACACACCTTTATTTGTGTCACCCAGAAGAACATCCAGTGTTTCCAGTGCACATGTATGTAAAAATCATATGCACTGGGGGAATGGGGGGTTGTTGACTTTTCCACACACACGTCAGCGGTTAGTTGACTGCATTCCGTGGACTTTTTACAGAGGATTCATCTCTACCTTGTGTGCGTGTGTGTGTGTGGTTCACTGGGGTTCCACCGGTTCTGGCATTTTCTGGGACTGCACTTGCCTTTGGCCGATTCCGAGGGGTTCCACAATTAACGGGTCCAGGTCCTAGGCCCCCACGTAGCTCATGGCTCGCGAGCTAAGGAGCTGCGGCCGTGTGTCCTTAAACTATATGTAGATTCGAATTCGATTCAACACAACAGCACTCGACGACACTGCACTCAGCTATCAGCTATGAGCTATCAGGAGTCAGGACTCAGGTCGCAGGACTCGGCCACCGACGCAGCATAACGGCAGAAGAGCAGAAATATTTCTGGTATATCTACACCGGAAAGCGTTTCCGCCCTAGCCGAATGGAGCTGACTGCGTGGTTGGGTTTTCCGGCGCATGCGTGGAATCGAATCAAAGTGTTCCCGGACCAGCAGAGTCACTTGGCAGCCAGGCAGCCTGGCATCCCTGCATTCCAATGCTGTCTTGGGTTCTGCTGCTCGGGGAATCCCACAAGCGAGTGCCTATCGAATGACCACAATCGATAGCCTGGCGGAAGTTCGTACAAGTCCTTTAAAGGTGACGCAACCTGCGTGACGTACATGCTTGTCCTGCGCCGTCTGGAGGCCAAGATTCTGGGCCGCAGCCTCCACCTGGTGGAGTTTGCCGGCCAGTGGACGAGTTCAGAGCGACGACAGTTCGAATGCGACATGCGGGTCATCGAGAACTTCGTTACGCCGGCGGAGGAGGCGGGTCTGCTGCGGGAAATTGAGCCCCACATCAGCCGCTTGCCCTACGAGTCGAGCCACTGGGATGAAGTGGGTATCCTAGGCAGGGGGGTATATTATCAGATATCATCACTTCTCATTGCCAGGCGATTCATGGCTACCGCGAGTTGGAACGCAGGAAGTGGTCGCCCCAAAACCGGGTTGTTCTGGATCGCGTCTCCAGGGAAGCCTTCGGCGGTCGGGCCATGCCCTTCGTCCACATCCTGGACCTGGCTGAGGTGGGCGTGATCAAGCCGCACGTGGACAGCATTCGGGTGGGTTTGCAGATTACAGATTACAATGATTTCTTTCCCTCATCACTTGACAGTTTTGCGGCCACACCATCGCGGGCATCAGCCTGCTCAGCGACTGCGTCATGCGACTGCAGCGGGTGGCCAAAGGTCCGGATCCTCCCTGCCAATCCGCGGACCTGCTCCTGCCGCGACACTCGCTCTACATCATGAGGGCCCTGGCGAGGTACGAGTTCACCCACGAGATCCTGGCCAGAGAAGAATCCCGGTTCAGGAACCGCTCGGTGGAAAGGCGGCGCCGCGTCTCTGTCATTTGTCGAAACGATCCTTAGAGGGGTTCCACTTACATTATTTCTACTCTTATAATTATAATTACAACTCTTATAATAATAAACCACTGGGTGGCTGTACAGGTATATACAATGCAAGTTTATTCCGATTCGGTGATCAGTTAAATGTAATACAGACTGTGTGTACGATTCACCCGAAGCACAATCCACGCTTATTCAAATGTACATAATGCATAGCTTAGTCTAACTACTTGTACGGTATAAATATTGGTATGCTTTCAAATTTTCTATTCCCTCCGATGTGTAAATTTTAAAAATTTGTCTTCTCTTCTTGATTATATGCGCCGATGCGATATGCGATGCTCTACTACTTTCCTTTGTACGTTTGTCGTCTCGTTTCATTTAAAGCTTAGAATATGAGAATGACAGAGACGGGGTTATTGTGATGTGTGGGAAACAGAGTGAGATGGGAAGTGGTATGGGAAGGGTGGTATTCAAGGATAACTGGGAGGGAAGCTGTGATGTCACTTAAAACTACCTTCATATTTGCACTACTAGCCACTGCTAGAAAAAGTCTGGGAATGATATTATGGCGATGGGTACTCGGATCAGATCGGATTAGCTCATCCTAGCTCATCCCAGCTTCCGGCGCCGCGGCAGCTGCAGGGGCAGAGCCACCACGGTGGCGGACGAGGACGTGGCATTGGTGGCCATCACCGGGAGGGCCAGAGCCACGGGGCCCGCGAGTCCGCCGCCCACGTACTGCAGATGCTGCACCACCGAGAGCTGCGGCTGCTGCTGCTTCAGCAGCTTGGCGGCCGCATGCGCCTCGACAGGACCAACCAGTCCTCCTCCTCCTAATCCTCCTGCTCCGTTGGCCTGCTGCTGGCCGCTGCTCTCGCAGTCGTCGTCGTCTGAGATCAGTGATATGCTGAGGTCGCTGGACAGCTTCAGGGAAATGGGCGTGGGCGGCGAGGGAGCCACCAGGGGGGCCACCTTGGCCCGCAGCGCCGGCGACAGCTTCTGCAGTTGCTCCGGCAGCAGGTCGGTCGTGTATTCCGGCACTCCGCTGAAGGCAAGGCCCTCGCGCAGCTTGCTCAGCGAGAGCTCGTAGATGCGATTGGCGATGACCGTGTGCACGGTGGTCTCGTCGGGCAGCGTGGCCGTGATGCCTCCGCCCACGTCCACCTCCAGAAAGCAGCTCGTATCGCTGCTGCTGCTGCCGGCTCCTCCTGCTCCTCCTGCCCCTCTTCCTCCTCCTTTTCCTCCCATCATAATCCTCCCATTGGTGGGCGCTCGACATTGCCTCTGGCAGTTGGCAGTGGTGGAGCTGCGCGGCACCAGCGAAACGGTCACCTCCTCGACGGCCTCCGACGAACGGGACAAGGTGAGCGGTGCGAGGGGCGGCGGCGAGGAGCGCCTGGCGGGGAACTGCTCGTCATCGCTGGTTATCAGGATGCTCTCCGTCACGGGATGCGCGAGGCCCTGCCGGCGGGGCATTCGTCGATGCTGGGGGGTGGGGGTGGCAGGTTCGTCGTCATCCGACAGCAGGTCGATGGTCACGTCGGCCGGCAGGGTGGCTGTTCTCATGGCCACCACATGGTTACCACGCCGGCGGTCAGTCTTGGTGGCGGCCACCTGGCTACGCATCTGGGCCATGCAGAACCGCTGGCGCTCCCGCAGGCGCTCCATCCACCGGCAGCGGCGCCGCTTGAGCCGCCTGTTGTCGAACAGCCGGGGCGATATGTAGAATGGTTCGGAATGTCTCTGGTTCATCTCTGGTTCGGTTCTGTGGGAGGGAATCAGGGGATCAGGGATCAAGGATCACTAGATATGGAGGCCACTTGCTCACCTGCGATTGAGTGGACTGATCTGGTGGATGATCCTGTTCAGAGGTCATGGGACTGGGACTCCTCCTCCTCCTCTTGCTCTTCCTCTTCCACTTCTTCCACAGGCGGTACAGTTGGATCCGCTGCTGCAACTTGCATAATTGCGTGGCGGATGAGGAGGCGCCTCCAGAGGGCGGCGGCGACGCGGGATTAGGCGCTGCCCCTCCCGCCGCTGGACATGATGAGCTGCTGGCTGGGCCGAGATGGTTGCTTTTCCACGCGACAGCTGCTCCTGGTTGCGAGTTGCTTTTGTTGTATTTCAGACTTCTGTTTATAAAACTGCATCGATAAACGCCACACATCGATAACGCGCTCGTGTCGATAGCTCGTTTTGTGTGCAGCCCTGCGCAGCAACCGGTCACACTGCGTTGATTGTGGGCAATCGATAGTTTAAGGGCGCGCAATTTGAATAGGTTTCAATTGGTCGAAGAAATATGAATAAATTCCATCCAGCTTTGTAGCCTTTAGCGACTTACAAAAATAAGCGTCAATAATAGAATTTAGTCTCCTAAGCAAAACCAAAAAGACTCGCTGTGTTTGGTGAAAATAAACACTCAAGCTGATTTTGGCACCACCCACTATTTTGAGAACCACTCGACTGGCGCAGGCGCTTTCGCCAGAGAAGCTTTCACTCACATTCAACCGGAGCTTTCACTCCGCATCCGCACGAGGACTAAAAACGATAAGAAAGTCGCCAACTCAGTTGGCAGATCGTCGCCTCCGCAAACGGATGTAGCAGACGAAAGATCCAAAGGCTCTGCCTTTAAATTTCCTGCGATTTACGACTACCCCAATTACAACGATTTGGGATGTCCTTGTCATTGCAGCGATCTTATGTATTAAGTTTTAAAGCAATAAAATATTCAAAAATTGGGCTCAAAAGTGAAGAACAACTTTTGGAGCAATTTAAAGGGGAATTTAAAAACTAAAATATGGGCAAAACGAAACTAAAATTTATAGGAAAATTATGCACTTAAAACAGCACATAAAATACATTTAACGAAAAATTAAATAACTCTTTTTAAATTAATCGAGAACTAGACAATCAGCTTTTAGTGATATGACACTTTACTCTAATGTATGTTTTTTGGAAGTGCCCTTTGTGATCTAAATAGCTAGCATAAAAAGTATGAAACTTTAATAAGGATTCCTCTTGTTCACATCACTTAGAAATACATAGGTAACATAAAAGTGGGTCAGTGGGTAAAAAAAAAAAAATTGGCTTAAAATTAAAATGTTATTACTCGTATAAATCGGTGTTTTGTTTCGATTTATGCATCTTTTGGAAAGTTGTATCATTTTATTTTAAAACGAAGGTACTAGTTAGCAAGATACTACAACCAAGACTGCAGATCGTCGAGGCTAATGATAATAAAGATCAACTTTAATAACCCTTGCAATGGTATAGATATATTTAAGGGGCACAATTGGGATCGATGGTAATCGTTTTGAATTACATAATTTCAGGCTTTAAGCTTTAAGAGCATGCAACACCCACGAGTCAAATAGGGTCCCTTGGGAGGCGGGAATCGGGAGGGCGGTAAGGATCCGATTTCAGTAATTCACGCGAATGGCTCATTTCCCCCAGCACGCGGAGTAGCAAAGGGAAGGCAAGGAACTGGAGGAGCTGTCCTTGGCGAAGGAGACCCACTTGAAAGGGAGCAGGGAGCAGGGTGCCGGGAGACAATAGACAATAGACAGGAACCACAACAAAAATTATAGACTCTCGGTCTTGACTTGACTTGGCTGGGCTCGACTGTAGCCGGCGCTTTGCGTTTGGCTGCCAGCCGAGGAGGTTCTAACTCCTTGCTCCTTGGAGAACCTCCTTCCCTTTCCTTTGACTGTTTGTGTTGTGTTTCTGGATTGCACTTTGGCCGTTTAAATCCGCGGAGTGTGGAGGAGCCGGGACCACACGCACCCCCGTAATCGACTCCCCCCGTTTGGCTTTGGGTCCGCATCCGCATCCGACTCGTCTTCCAGGTCTTCCAGGCCAGACTCCTCTGCCTGCAAATGTTTCCTGCGACCCGACCCTGTGCATTAAAATGAATTCCTTTTGAAGAGGAGGAAAAGAAGGGAGGGAAGGGCACCCAAGTCGATTTGAATGAATGCACGTCCTTGCTGTTCAGCTCATCCCGGTGCTCATCGTCCGCTAGTCGCGCCTCGTCCTCGTCTTCCTCCTCAAGTGTTTGCCTTCCTCAGGTGTTGAGTTGAGTTGAGTTTAGTCGAGAGTCGAGGAGTCGAGTCAAGTTGGCATTGTCTTTTTGTTTTCGCCGTCTGCCGCAGTTGTTTTGCGTTAGAGCTGTCCTCCGGTTTTGCCTTCGTTCGTTTTTATACCCGTTACTCGTAGAGTAAAAGGGTATACTAAATTCGTGCAAAAGTATGTAACAGCTAGAAGGAAGCGTTTCCGACCCCATAAAGTATATATATTCTTGATCAGGGTCACTAGCCGAGTCGATCTAGCCATGTCCGTCTGTCCGTCTGTCTGTCTGTCCGTCTGTCCGTCTGTCCGTCTGTCCGTCTGTATGAACGCTGAGATCTCAGAAACTACAAAAGCTAGAAGGTTGAGATTTCCCCCACATATTCTTTGGCTTCCTACGCAGCGCAAGTTTATTTTAGCCGAGCGCCACGCCCCCTCTAACGCCCACAATCGCCCACTAACGATTTTAAAATGGGTCCTGCGCCCACATCTTTAAAGATTTCCGAAAAGTATAAATGCAATTTTGTTGTGTATATTTATACCTATCGAAATGTAGAAGACATTTTTCAAATCGGACCATTCATTAAAAAGTTATAAGCAATCAAAAATTATATATCTATCTCCCTCGCACTCCCTTTAGCTGAGTTACGATTATTAGTCGGGACACCAACCCGACACAGCGTTCGCACTCCCTTTAGCTGAGTGACGGGTATTAGAAAGTCGGGACAACAACCCGACTATAGCGTTCTCTCTTGTTTTTATTGTGTTTTGGCATTACGCCAAATGTGCAAAGCCAACAAAATACCAAAAGATTGCACATTGCACCTGTCCTTGGGACGCGGCTCTTTGGTTTACTGCTCCTTTGGCATCCAATCCGGCTAGTCGCTCCTTGTCCTTGCTGCTCCTGCTGCTCCTTCTTGGTTCCCTCATCGATGATGCTGATAGTGAGATGCTGTTGCTAATGTGCCTGCTACATCGGTTACTTTGATGATCCTCCTCCGCACAGAGTGCTCCCCATGGAGCATCCGCTTCGCAAATGTGGATGCCCAAATCATACAAGCATCCCATGCTCATTACCTTTGGCTACTCTACTCTACTTTGTTGACCAGATCAAGGGAATGACATCCATCGCATTATTATAATTATCGAGCTAGCCCCCATTCATGCTTGGTGGGAACACTTGGACTAAGTGGACACTGAGGTGAACGGCAATCAAAGTGGGCACTTGCAAAGGCATCTGTTCCGTTTCCGTTTCCATCTGCATTGGTATCATCAGTCTGGGTTCTGGGCTCTGGGTTCTGGTTTCGGTTCCACTGCGGCAAGTGCCCGGGCAAACGCAAACGGTAAGTAGAAATTTGCGTCAATAGGATTGTTAAAGAGGCTTAAGTTAAATGGGAAAACTTCCGAATCAATGAACCGCAAATTGCATGCGAAATGCCAAAACGAAAATGTCGCCGGCCGAGTGTGCGTGGGTGTCCTGCCAGGATGTGTGTGTCTGTGTCCTGATGGGTGATGGGTAGTGGGTGATGGGTAATGGTGTGAGGAAGGAGTCAAGTTAACTGAAACCGGACTGAAGTCGCGGTGGCCAAAATGTATTTATACTGGATTCATATGTGGCGAGTGAATGCATGGATCCTTAGAGCGACTCCACAGTTGACCACAAGGACGTGGCAATAAAATATCCTTTGGCCACTTGCCGAAGCGCTTGTAAATGCATCCGTCCGTATGGCAAGTATGGCAAGTACTTTCCAAGTATTTCATAAATTCGGTTTGTTGTTTCTTTCGGCCATGGTCTTGGTCTTAGTCCTTCCATCCTCCCATCCTGTCATCCTCTCATCCTCACATCCACTTACCCACCGAGCTAATGGCAATTTCATTTTCCCCAGCAGATTCAATTTCGCGAGTTGTCCTCCTTTCGGATCGGAAGGATTCTTTTTCGTGGGAAGAGCTGCAGCTCCAAGACTCCCGAGACTGCATATACCATACATATACGAACTTGTGCTAATCTGGACGAGGGGATACGTGATTCCGTTTGCCATGCTGTATGCGGGAGGAGTCTCGGAGTGTCCGGAGTGTCGGGGGGAATCGGCTTCAGCTTCAGCTTCAGCACTTGAGCAGGCCTGCGACGACGTTTGTCTGTGTATTATCCTTGGTAATGCATGCAAAGATGCTGCAAAGTAGCTTAATACTTTATGCTCGCAATGAAAAGCCTTTTTACGATCGCATTATGCTTGTACGTACTTATATTTCAGTAGTTGTGTCGCTGCGTATATCATGGCTCTCTATCCAATACAGCCAAACACCCGAACCCGTATTTATATTTATATCTATATATCCATGGGGATATGGGGATGGGGATGGTATGTTTGTGCATTAACTTGTTCGGGGCCTCTCCTCCGCTTTTATTTCGCTTTCGCAACTTGTAGCCCTGGCCGTATCGCATTTTACAGCAGGGTGCTTGTCGTATGAGTGATATCTGCAGTACATAAACTATGCAGTAAATAAGTTTATTATCACCCGGCGAGGTTTCCGGTGGCTGCTTTGGATTCAATATTGGGCCACCCACTCCTGTTGCAACTTGAGTTTGTTCGCCATGAGAAAGGCGGTTGGAGCGCCCACGTATTTGCATGCCCAGTGAAGAAGTCCAGAATGCCGGACGGAGCAATCGGCGACTTCCTTTGCCGTCGCTTCCCTTTGCATTGTTGTAATTATTTTGCTGGCGCTACCGCTTCTAATTAATACAAATGGTTTGATACACAATAAAGATATTTCAACTTGGCTCGTTACTGGTCGTTCAGCGACCCTCTCCATCCGTCCTGTGTCCTCCTGGCTCCTCTGGCTGTGTCCTCGTTGAAGAAAAAAGTTTTCCCATTTCGGAAAGTTTTTATTTTGTGCTGCTGCTGCTGCGTTGGCTGATTTCGCTGCTCTTCTGCCGGCCTGCAGTTGCACTGACTACTGTGTCCCACCAGCCCACACAGATATCTCTTTTGTTTTGGGGCTTTTGCTTTTGCTTTGCTTTGCTTTGGCAGTCGCAACCAACGTCATCACAATCACAATCACCATCATCATCATCATCATCATTTGGCCGTC